CCAGGCCCTCCCCTTCTCTGAGGGAGATGGAGATAGCCCCGGGCCCAGGGAGAGGCCTCCAGGGAGCAGCCCAGCACCTGTGCACATCTGGAGGAGAGGCCGCTGCCTATCTCCTCTTGACCCTGGACCCAGCCAGCCCAACTCCCTCTTCCTCATGGCCAGCCTGGCCTGGCCTCTCCCAGGAACCCATTCATCCTGGGAAGCCAGGGATCCTCCTTTACAGAAGAGGCGGGATAGGGTAGACCACCATGCGCTTGCTTACAAATACTATGTCCCTAGAGCGGGGTGACAACATCCCTGCCTTAAGATCACAGATACAGAGGTTGAGTCTACCGTAGCCCAGCTAACAAATGGCAAAGCCAAGGTGGAACCCTCTGGTGTCTCTGATTTCCCACACACCACCTACCACACAGTGGCTTTGTATAGAGCACCCGCCCTGTGCACTATGTGGAACAGATGGAAAGCCAAGAGCTGGGGTCCACAAACCGAACAGAGGAGGAGACAGTGCTGATCCTGATGGGAGAAACCCTCATTCTTGGCTGAGGTCTCAGCTCTGCTATTTTAAAGTCTATGACTGTGGGCAAGTCTCTTAACCCTGGTCCCCATGGGTCTCAAATGAATCACATAAAAGCAGCAGGTGCCCCCACATCAGCTCGGACTTACAGCAGCTGTGTGGGCAGAAGAGAACTGTTCTGCTGGGTTTTCTGTGTCTGGGGCCTTTCAGAAACAACATCGAGTCCTTCTCTGGAGGCACCTTGGGGTGGGTTTGAACTACTAACCTTTAAGTTCGTAAGCAAGTGCTGAACCATTTGCACCCGTCGGGAACTCTGAGACACACATCTGTACAGCACATTTTAAAGGGGGTTGTGGGGGCTGCATGGTGTGCCCATGGGGCGCTGCAGGGTGGGATAAGGTGGTGTTTGGAGATAGGAGGGATTTCTGGGTGGTTCTATGGGGATGTGCTGTGTATGTGGTGCTGCCAGCATCCAGGGGCTCACTGGGTGCTCCTGATAGCAGCACTGAGCTTAGAAGCCTCAGTGTCTGGTGTCAAAGAGCCCAGAAGAGAAGGAGTGTGCATGATTGGAAGGAAGCACTCAGCAGATGGGCTGGGGGCGCTAGGAAGAGGAGAGGGCCAGGGTGGAGAATAAATACGACCCTCCTCCTGTGGACATGGGCGGACATCAGCCTGGAAAGGAAACATAGAATCCCAGCAAACTGAAGCCATGTCATCTGGGGAGGTGCCTGGGGGCTGCTCTGTCCTACACATCTGAGGACCAGGAGGCTGTGCCTGGCCTTGGCTCCTGACCACCCACCACGCTGAAGGTCTGTGGGAGCCTGGACTGGCCCTAGGGAGGGTTGGGACTGTGCAGAAGGCTGTGCAAGTTGGAAGATCAGCAATTTATAATCTACTGGTGGAGAGAGAGTAGGCAACCCACCTGGAGTTTAAATGGAGAGGCCAGCACTGAGCAGCAGCATAGAGGTCCCAAGAGGAGGAGGAGGAGGTGGCGTGGGACCAGATGAGAGCCATTGTTACTCAGAGTCAGACCACCCTAGCTGGGAGGCAGTGCAGTCCTCCTTTTACAGAGCTGTCCCGGGCGGCAGCAGCAGGGCTCCCTTGTAATATCATGTCTTGATATGATATCATGTCTTTATAAAATAAAGTCGATCTCTTCAGTCAGGACTGGAAGGGCATCTAGTGTCGTCCATTGTTCCACACTATCCATGACCAAGGTCATCCACATAAATCTTGCACCCTTCCCGGGATGTGGCACTCACTACTTAACAACACGGCTGCTTTTCCCTTCTTACGCAGCTCTGACCAGTAAGAAGTTCCTTCCTTGCATGGAGCTCAAATGGGTCTCAGCCTTGTGCCCAGGGATGCTGGCAGGTTCTCAGAAAGTGTCCCCTGCTCTCACTAGGATGAGCATGGGCAGACTCACCAGAAACTGGGCAGAGGTTTGAGGACAAAGGGCCTGATTTCAGGTCACTTCTTGGTCACCACCATTGATTTATTTTGGAGGCCTGGACCAAGTCTGCAGTCCTAACCATCTGCAAGGTCTCTAGCCACTGGTGGAACAAGGGAGAGTCTCTTCTGCTCCTTGCATGTACACCCATGCCTCTGAGCCCAGAGTGAAGTCAGGCCTTAAGAATGGAGGGCAGAAAGGCCACACGCCCTGCTTGACCTGGGCCCCTCCCGCTTCCAGTCTTCTTTCTATCTTACCTCGGCCCTGGCCAGCCCAGTCCCCTCGGTGCCTCCGGCAGGGTCAGGGACATACATGCTCACACTATGCCCCTGCCCTCTCTCCACCAGCTTTTACTCCCACCAGAGCCAATGGGGACATCTCTCACCTGAATCTCCTCACGGCCATAAGCCTGACTCTTCATATTTACAGGGAACGCAGGGGCAATTTCAATGGCGCCACAGGCAGCCCTGGAAATTTTTATAAGACAGCCTGCCTGGTCACTGCAAAACTTCAATGTTATGTAACCACACACACATGCACACAGAGAGATAGACACACACACATGCACATACATGTGTAGTTGTTAGCGATTATCAAGTTGGCACCCCACTCGGGGGGACACCATGTACAACTATGTGTATATGCTATAGCACATATATGTAACATATACACTTAGATGTTCATGTGGGTCTATATCGTGTGTGTGTGTGTGTGTGTGTGTGTGTGTGTGTGTGTAGAAGGCTCCCATCCACTCTCCACAGGAAGTTACAGTCTTGGAAACCGACAGGGACAGTTCCACCCGCCCCATGGGGTCTCTGGGTGTTAATAGTAGTGAGTTCGTTTGGGGTTTTTTTCAGTCCTTGCTTCAAGAATTCGAACACTGAGTGCAACATATGAATGCTTGATTGGATTCTGGCATAAAAATAAAACAGCGGTAACAAGATATTTAGATAAGGAGTACAAGAAGGAAGAAAATGTCTTGGAACTAATTATAGTGAGGATGGTAGAACTGTTATTAATACGATTGAACAGAGTTATCAATATGAATTATATGTCAATAAAACTATTTGTTAAAGATGTTTAGAAAGTGTGGCATAGACCGGGTGTTTAGTGGGGGGACCATTGTCAGTTTTTTCAGCTCCGACAATGGTGATGTGTTCAGACCACGGCTCAGCCACTCGGGCTGCATCCTGGCTGCTCTGGGCCCACAGCCCTGTTCCCACTGCACTGTGTGGAGCTGTTGGGAGGCCTGAAAATACTGGTCGACCCCATTGGCTGAAACCCGGCTGAATTCACCGGGTTTAGATGGGCCAATCCAGGTGTAATGCTCACCTAGGTGTACCACCCCTTCCTGGACTGGAGCTGGAATCTAACAAACCCTCCTTGAGAAAGAATTGTGTATAGGACATGCACATTGAAGTCCTAGGGGAGAGATGTTGCAATGCTGTAACTCCTTCCCATCGAGCCCATGAGGGAGCTGTGTGAGCTCACCCACCTGCATCAGAGGCCACACGCTAGCCTTTCTTCATCCAAGTGCTCGTTAGGCCATTCCTTCAACTTATTTTATTTTTTTATTGAAAGATCTCAGGATAAATTTTTGGTCTAAAAACATGATATGGGCTCCAGAGCCAGAAAGACCAGGTTCAAGCCAACCCAGTCCTGGACAGCAGTCTGCACTTGGCCTCTCAGCAGGGGACTCCGAGACACTACGTGTCCTACCCCAGGCTCCCTCTGGGCCCTGAGACGGAGCTGGGTCTGGGCCCGACAAGGAAGGGGAGGTTGGGATGAGTAAGCGTCGCACCTCTTTTCTCTCCTAGGGGGACTATAGACTCTAGAATGTTCCATCTGGAAGGGGCAGGACAATTCCCAGGGGTCCCACCTCAGAGTGAATTTTTGCCAGCTCCCTAAGCCATTCATACTATTAGGCAGCCAGACAGGGGCAGGGCCTTGTCCCTCCCATGTCTGTACAGGACCCATCGAGGGGGGTGGGAAGGAACCAGGTGGGCATGAAACACCTGTGAGGACCCTTTAACTGGGCATGTTCCAATTCAGGACACACACACACACACACACACACACACACAGTCAGGTGGGTGTTATACCTTGAGTGGCTCAAACTAGGCCCAGGTGGGCTTAATTCAGCCAATAGGGTCAACCATACCTTCAACCACATCTCAAGCCAGAGGTTTGATATTGCCCTGCTCCTGTGCCCTCTCAGGCCATGCCCCAGTGTCTCTGGCCTCAGTTCACCACGTGTCAGGGTGCAGTCCCACGAGGTTGCCCGTGTTCAGTTGCGGGCCCCAACGTGGCTCACACGTGATTTAGCACACTTCCCTGAAATAGCGCGTACTCTTTTGAGACTGTAAAACTCTAAACTCCCGTCCTTCATAAAAACTCACTTGCATGACAAACCAGGCTTTGGTGGGAATTCTTTTCTTGCGAAGCCAAGAACCGAGGTTACCCACTCAAGAAACTAACAATACTAGATCTGCCTATAATTTTTCTTCTAATTGATTCACTTTTTTTGGAAACTCTACCCCATTAGCAATCATATCTGTGAACTCATGAAATCAGGGATTTCATGAGTTATGCTTCTTTCTAATTCACATTAAAATAAACACGTGACTGCCGACATGAAAAACTTTGGCCTTTCCCTGGATTCTCCTTCTTAATTCCTGGCTTTGTTTAAATCCAATGCAAAATTCTGTTTTCATTCAACTTCCCAGAGTTGGTTTCCTGGGGTGATAGTTCCTTTTGTTTTCCATTTGCTGGCCTCTTTCTGTCCTGAGATGCAGTGGAAAACTCAGGGCACGTGGGGATGCGGGGTCGGGATAGATAACCCCCAAGTCTGCTAGGCAAGCAGCACATGAATTTGAAGAGCCCTTGCTGAGCTGTGAGCCTGGCCTCGGAGGCTCCTTTCCGGAGTACAGGCACCTGGGCTCGCTCACTGACTGCACCCGGAGGAGAAGCTCCTGGTCCCCAGGCCCACCCCTGCCTGAAGCATCATTTGACCTGTGTCTTCCCGTGCCCCCACAGATGTCCTGGCGTCCGCAGTACCGCAGCTCCAAGTTCCGGAACGTCTATGGGAAGGTGGCCAACCGGGAGCACTGCTTCGACGGGGTCCCCATCACCAAGAATGTGCACGACAACCACTTCTGCGCCGTCAACGCCCGCTTCCTGGCCATTGTCACTGAGAGCGCAGGTGGTGGCTCCTTCCTGGTCATCCCCCTGGAGCAGGTAGGTGACCTCACACCTCCCTGGGTGGCTGGATGAGGGAGGAGGCCTCCTTGCATTGATTCCCCCCCATCCCCAGCCCCCTCCCCACCCACCGCCTTTTCCTGGCTCCTCTAGTGCTCATGGCTCTGCCTTGTTCCGGGTCCACCTGAGCTTCTTCACCTGACCAAATGCAGACTTAGGGTTCAAGAGACTCACAGTCTGTCCTCCCCCTCCTCCTCCCCTGGGCATGCACCCGTCACTTCCTCTCAACACACAGCAATCAGCTGCTCCTTTCCAGAGGCGGCTGCAGGGGCCATGAGGCTCAGACCTCTGAGCAGAGGCGCTAAGAGCAGTGGCCCTGGCAGCAGTTTAGTGGGCTCTGCCAGTTGCTGGGAGTGTGACCTTGGAGGTGTCCCTGACCTCTCTGCAGCTTGGTTTCCTGTAAGGGTACAGTGGGGGGAGATGAGCCTGCCCCTGCCTGGTTTCCAGGGATGGGGCCAGCGGGCAAGTGGATGAGTGTGCACGGTCGACCCACCTGTGTTAAAGGTTAAAGACATGTTGGTACTTGCTTGGGAAGGTTGTGGGCCCTGTTCTCCGCCGACTTAGCAAATGTCCCCGCAGCGCTAACACCTTGGGGAGGGTTCTCGAAGGCAGTTCACCTCTCCTGGTGAACCGCGTTTCTGTGGCCCTGATCTCACTGGGGCTGCAGGCCTGCCGGCACCTAGCTGTGTTCCACTTGCAGGTTAGCAAGCGTCAACTGTCCGTGAGTCAGTCACACCATACCAAAAATCCATTCCAAACGAAGTACCAATCTAAGCCTTCACAGCACCCGCTAAAGTAATCATCTGTGAGTGTACGTTTTTAAAAGTCACATGATGGGGGAAAGGCTTCCCAAAAGCCAGACAAGAATCCTAAACACCCTGCAGGTAAGGATCCTGCGTCTCTAACTCTGTCGCACTCCCTGTGCTTCAGGGGGACACCTGGAGCAAACTGGGAAGGCCGGCCACCCGCTTGAGGACAATCTTTGCGACATCTAACAGACAAAGGGTGCCTTTTCTGGGGGGCATGTGGACTTCTAGAGAGATCAGAAAGAGAAAGGACCAGTACATGTGTATGAAATGCTGAATGGAGAATGAACTTGTTCTATAAACTTTCACCCACATCACAGTGAACGTGTATGTGATGTATACATATCACAAGAGTAAAGCGGACAAATGATATGAATAAGCGTTTCACTGACAACAAAATAGGACTGAACTTGGCGGTTTGGGAAGTTTGTATCCTTGGGTGTCATCAAAGGTGTGGGCAACCAGGTGCCCGGATACCCTTAAACTGATCGCTACGAGTTGGCCCCACCTTGTGGTGACCTCATGTGCGTCCCAGGAGGGCTGTGCTCCGGTTTTCAGTGACTGATTTTAACAATCGGATCGCCAGCCCTTTCTTTGGAGGTACCTCTAAACCAAACCCAACCCGGTGCTGTCAAGATGATGCCAACTCATTGCAAGTCTGTGTGACCGAGTAAAGCTGCCCCTTCAGGGTTCTGAGGCTGTAATCTTTATGGAGGGATCCCTTGTGGCATAGTGGTTATGTGTTGGGCTGCTAACCACATTGTCAGCAGTTTGAAACCACCAGCTGCTCCATGGGAGAAAGATGAGGCTTTCTATTCCTGTAAAGAGTT